AGTCGGGATTTTGACATAGTAGTGATTTCGATATAGTCGGGATTTCGAATGTCGGGATTTCAATAGTAAAAGTATCTATGAAGTAAAAAAACCTACACATAATGATATACCAGTATCATCTTGTTACAAGCATACGCGCAGTCTCAGAGCAAAGATCTTAATAATTGTAATTATGTCCCAATATAAATAATAAATTTACACAAAATCAATATCTGGTTTACGACACAAAAAAAGTTTGGGAACCTCTGGTTTAAAGGATCAAAGAGTGTCTCGAAAAACCGATTGTTGACGTTCATTGACAAACGTCAAATTTTGATATTTCTATCGCGAACATTTGATTTTGTTTAATTAAACTGTTACAATTTAATATGATTTCTTTTGAAAAATTTAAAAAAATTGTAATTCTTTTGCAGATTAGCATATATCCTGGATTTGCAAGATGATTACGCGTATCTTGAGTGGGTGAGTTGATTTGATATTACACAATTACAATTTTGTGCTTTTGTTTTTTTCTTTTGTTATGTTAAGGGCGACGAGCTACTGCGATGGGATAGCTTCGAACAGGACGATCGAGATGTTCGCGAATGCAACAGTTTTCGAGCCGACCGCAGACATCCGCAGTGTCGCCTACCGCATCATCGCACCGGTCACCATCTGCGTCGGTATCCTTGGAAACATCATGAACCTGTTGGTCTTAACGACGCGACCGTTCCTCAAGGGAGGTACGCGCGTCTACCTGACCGCCCTATCCATCTCCGATTTGAGCGTCATGGTAACCGTTATTCCTATGGTGATGCGCTGGAACCATTCGCAGTGGAAGACGGCGGAGGCCGCTTTCTACCACGCGCACGTCGAGCTCTTCCTCAACAACACCTTCATCGCGTCGAGCGTCTTCATCGTCGTCTGCTTAACCATCGAACGTTACTTCTCGGTGTGCCTTCCCACGATGTTCAGGAGCGTTCATACTGTTCGCATCGCGAAACTGGCGACGCTCGGCTGCTTCTTAACGGCGCTCGCGGTCAGCGCTCCACTTACAACCATGAAGACGGTGTGCATGGTGAAGGGGAACTTGAGCTGCACCGATTGGGACTTCCACGAGAACAACGCCATCACGGACACCATCTACTGGGGCGCCTACCTCTGGTGCTCCGAGTGTCTGGTGAGGTTCGGGCCGTGTCTGATCCTCGCCACCTTGAACATCCTCATAATCCGGAAATTTCGCAAGATCACTGCAAAGAGGAAGGTGTTCAGAGAAGCGACGGCTTTTCCTTCGGACCGCTTCGACGCCGCCAACCACGACGCGAAGCTGCGACGCGCTCTACGCAACAAGAAGTACCAGGAGGAGAAGCGTCTCGTCACGTTGCTACGCGCCATCGTCGTCCTCTTCTTCGTAACCATGACACCGTCGGCAGTTCTTTCCCTTCTGTACTCGGAGCTGCACGAACCCGCGTTCGGTTTCCAAGTGTTCCGCGCGTTCGCCAACAACTTGGAGTTGGCCAACTTCGGCCTCAACTTCTACGTGTACTTCTTCTGCAGCAAAGAGTTCCGAGCGGCGCTCCTCCATTTGGCGCGCGGTTGCTTAGCTTGCGAGGAGGAACCGACCGAAGAGTCCGTCGACAACGAGCGCATCAAGAACATGCTCAAGGTCATCAAACTCAGCGAGACGTCCGACTTCAATTCCACCGGCGAACGGTATTCCCTAGATAATTAAATTTAGATCACACTCACCACCAAATCTATTTGCAAATCTCCTTTTTTTGTTTTGTTTGTTTTAAACTCATGTAAACACAGCACGAAAAGATTAATTAATCCCGCTCAAATATTTACACAACATCTCATCCGAAACGAGGAAGAATCCTTTTCGATTTACATTTTCTGCATGAGCGTATATATATATATAAATGTGTGTGTGCGTCCAAAGGAAACGGAAGCCGTGGAAGCCATTGTCTGCAGGCGGCGGCGCCAACATCATCATCATCAAAAACATCATCATTCGAGCTCTCCAATTAATTAAATTGATCGCTCTGTTTTTCCTTCAGTGTCAACATGCATGCACTTCCAACAATTTCCACCCTTCCGCTGTTGGATTGAGTTACAAATCGACATCTAATCTCCCTACAAAAAAAAAATAAAATAATTAAACGAAAATTTAGGCAACACAACGCGCGCTCGCACAGATTTTGTTTAATTGAGCATCATTTTACCAACTGCAAAATATTAAATTTGAACTTTTGGTTAATCGCATTGATTTCACGTTATTTGTGTATGGAGAATCATTGCACCAACTTCGAAAACTTGAATGTTACTAACTAAATCCATTCACATTTTACCAACGGTGAAATTATAAAAAAAAATATACCAACAATTTCATTCACCAATAACGTGAAATCAATGCGATTAACTAAAAATAATATTATTAATAAAATTTACAACAAAAAAAACTCACCAATTATTATAAATAAATTCAATTGAAACTGCAACAGATTTGACGCACTATGGGGGCACTATGACGTGGAGAATCATTGCACCAACTTCGAAAACTTAAATGTTACTAACTAAATCCATTCACATTTTACCAACGGTGAAATTATAAAAAAAAAAATATACCAACAATTTCATACACAAATAACGTGAAATCAATGCGATTAACCAAAAATATAGTTATTAATTTAATTTACAACAACAAAAACTCACCAATTATTATAAATAAATTCAATTGAAACTGTAACAGATTTGACGCACTTGCACTATGACGTGGAGTATCATCATTGCACCAACTTCGAAAACTTAAATGTTACTAACTAAATCCATTCTCATTTTACCAACGGTGAAATTATATAAAAAAAATACCAACAATTAATCCAAACATCAAATTACTAACAAAATAAAGAAAATCGAAAAGATAGAGAAAACATAAAGATTAATCTATAATGGAAACAAGTGGATATTCGATCGTTACGTAATTGCATCAATTGTCGTTTGAAGACGAGAGACGAGACAAGCAGATAAAACAAAATTGTTGACGGAAGAGAGAAACATCTGCCGCAGTTTCCACGCAATCAAACAGGCGTTGATTGATGTAAGAAGAGCCGCAGACAAATATTAAACACGCACACACACATGTTCCTCCCACCCCCTTTTCTCCACCAATTATTGCACCATCTATGGGACACAAATTTCATCATTAAAAATCGTACAAAAGAATTCCATTTTTTTTTTCATCGTGATATTAGTTGATAGATAAATTAATTTTTATTAAGTTTGTGTTATTATTTTTTTTTGTTTTGTTTTGTTTATGAATTTCTTTACTGCTTGTATCGTAGCAAAATATATATGCGAAACAATTGAATACAAATTTTCTTTTCTTTCTTTCTGTTTCTTTTGTTTTCAGGTGGCATAAGTACGAAGAACGCGAAGAGGCTTTATAAAAACAAAAACAATGTATTTTGACGTTGTCAATAATCATATAGTTTTGTTATAATGTAAGGACAATTGTTGTTTGGGGAAACAACAAGAATTGGCCAAAAAAAAAAAAAATAATTGAAGGATTTGATACTAGTGTAAATATGTAGTTTTAATTTGCTGACAGCTTAGCGCAATCGAATTTTGACGTTTGATAAATGTCAAATTTGAGATGTATAAAATTTGTTTAATTTTCATGTCAAATATGACAAAAACAATATTGTGTCAATTAAAATGAAATGTCAAATGTGACAAATGACAAGTATTAGATAACAATATGAGAAACGTCAAATTTGACAGTATTAAATTAGATAGAAATGTTAAGTTTAGTATTAGTAGTAAGTAGTAGTAGAGTGTTATTTTCCAGTTCCAAACGAATCGAATGTGCGCTGCAAATGAAATCTCTTTCTGTGCAAATATGTGAGCGTGTGTGTAGATTAAATAATATATTAATTGTGTAAATGTTTCGGTCGTGTGTCTGTTTGCTCTCGTTAAATACAATTAATCGCTCGCATTACGCACTTTCCTCCCTATTTCACTCTTACTCTCTCTCATTCATTCCATTCGTTGTATATTTACTCCAATCATCCGACGTATCTTCCCTTTCTAATCGACTCTCGTTCATTTTTTTTTTTTTTTTCGTTGTTTTCCGATTGAACCAATCGTAGAATCTAGCACTCCGCGTCTAATGTAAACAAACGAAATGTACAATATATATATGAAGAAAAAAAAAAACAATGCGTGTTTTGCTGTGAATAAAAGTGATTTGACCCCGAGAAACAAATGAATGCAAACAGACGAATGTACCTTAATTTTTCAATAAAAAAAAATCATCAAAAATATTATAATATCGACTTTTTTTTCCAATTTCTACAGCTCATAGCAGGCGACTGGATAACAACAGAAAGATGCCAGTAGGCTCGTTGGAAAGGTGAGACATTCAGCTTTCATACAAGTGGTCGATGATGTAACTTTCTTAAGGATTTGTCGAGAAAATCACGAAAAACTGAATAAAAAACGAAAAAAAATGTTCTTCAGCTTATAACAGGCGACTCGATGAAACTACAAAGATGTATGTAAGCTCGTTGGAAAGGTGAGACATTCAGCTTTCATACGAGTTGTCGATCATATAATTATCTTAAGGGATTGTCATTATTTCTCGACATTTTTCAATGATTTCTCAAAAACTACAGAATATATTTTATTTAAAATGAAACATGCAAATTGAAGCTAAAACTATGAGTATTCAGATAAACAAATGATTATTATTATTATTAAGATATTCGTAAATTTATTGCAATTTTTTACAAATATATTTCTTCAATTTGTAATATTTTCCTCGAGAACAATAGAAAACATGCAAATTGATGCTAAAACATTGCTTTATTGAGATACTAATTGATTTAGAGTAATCAAATTGGCAAAAAAAAGAAAAGAACAAAATTCACTTACCTTTGAGAAAACACTGAAACAAACAAATGACGTATGATGTCAACTGTTTCTAAACTATTGTCACTTTGTTTTTTTTTTTTCGTTTTTTTGTTTGACTAAAGCAATTGATGCACATAATCTTTATTTATTTATTAATAGTAATAAAAAAAAATAATCAATGAACCATATAATAATCATAATAATGTAATGTATGTATGTATATATGTATATTTAGCGCTCACCAGATAATCTTAATTAAATCATTTGTTTCTTGAAAACAAAAAAATAAATAGAAAGAAAGAAATTAGTAACCATGGTTATTGTTGTTTTTAATTCCGAACGTGTTTTGTTTCGGTACACAAGCCTACTCAACTGAACACAAACAAAAAATACAAAAAAAAAATTAAGCAACATTTCTTTGCAATAAAAACGTAGTAGTCTCTGGTTCAAATATATATATATATATATTTATAATAAATATAATTATTTAAGTGGGATTAGTTATATAAAATTCTATCTACTTCTCTCTTTCTTTCTGTCTCATTTCAAGTAATATTTATAATAATATACAAATTATTGACTATTCCAACTAAAAAAGAAAACTCGCCAAGATGTGAAAATCGCGAGTTTTTATTTCTTTCTTTATCTTTTAAACCTCACCTCAATTTCGATCTAGAATGTTTCATCATTTTTTTTTTTAAATTATTATTGTTATTGTTTGGATTAAGAAGGTGCATCGCGCTGCAAAACAATTGTTTCTGACTATCTGGGCGTGGTTTGTTTGCCACACGCCCATTATTTATGTTACATGTTACCTAGCAACGCACGTCGGAAGTAGGCGATTGTTTGAAATGGAAGAAGAAACAAAAAAAAAGAAGACAATAATAATCATCATATTCTACAAATATCCATATAATATTTATATTTATATAATTTATTACGAGTCTTCCCCCCTTCGATCCGTCTAAATCTTTAATTAGTCGAACCTCTTCCACGCAGATAAGAGGATATAAATACGCGATGGAAAAGGATCGATTTATATATATAATATAATATAATTCAACTATATTTACAAAATACAAAATATTTCATCTCGATATTCATTTTTTTTTTGTTTTTCTCTAAAAAAATTAGTTTTAATTGAAACAAAGGAAGGGCTTAAATTTTAGTTTCATGGTAGGCCGGAGGCGAAAGCGAATTCGCGCGCAGATGATCGGAAACGAAAGCGTTTCAGTTTCCAAGGCAACAGCTCTCTCTCTTGTTTTCTTGTCAGAGAGGATGTTTTTTTTTTAATATATTTTTGAAGGATTTTATTGGTTTAAAGGTGGGTGAAGGGAATAGAAGAAAATTATAATAAACAAAATAAACGTAAAGACAAAAACAAAGTAAGTAATAATAATAATAATAATTAATAAAATTATCGAATTCTTCTATAAGCTACAGAAAAAAAAAAAGAAAACACTACAGGCTATTACTACTAGCTTACGATTAAAAAAATACATCAGTCTCAGGGTTGTTGTTTTTTTTTTCATCATCTTTTGTTTTAGTGTTGTTGTTTTTTGTATGTGTGTTTGGATGGGGGGCGGGGGTGGGAGGAGTTTGGGGTGGATTTAAGGAAGAAATGGGAGGAGTTGTGGGCGTGGGATGGGCGTGTCCTTGCGGTCGTGGTAGCTGCTGCGTCAAGAAACAAACAGTGATAGTATATATAATAATAATACAAAATAATAATAATAATAATAATAGTAGATAGTGAATATAAAAACTAAACAAAAGAATAGAAGAAGAGTATTTCAACGAAACGGTAAAAGTAAAATCGATTAAGAGATTATTAAAAGTAAATACATCGTACAAAGTTACAAACGAAAGAAATATATATATATAATATATGTATGTTTATGTTGTATATATATGTAGTATATAGATAATATATATATATATATATACGAGGAAGAACGGAACTGAAAAATTAAATGTATCTAAATAGTCGTCATTTATGATAATAATGATAAGAAATCAATAAAGTTAAATATTCATAACGTAACATAAATGTGTATACTCGCGATTAAACCTAAAAACGAAAGAGTTACAGAACAAACTAAGAACGATACTAAAAAGACGTAACAATGATGATAAACATAAGCAAGTATTTAGCATTGATATTTGGAGTCGAAGACGTCTAAATCTTGTCTCTGAAAGCTTCTTAAATCATTTCCAGTTAAAATACCAAATTTAACAAAAAAAAAAGCCTCTCTGTCTGTTCATTTACGGTTGCTACCATTCACATTCTTCAACTGTCTCTAAAAACAAACAAAAAGTAAATAACTGTATCGGTTGCCATGGTTTGTTTTTCAAGTTTTCACTATTCACGACGTCATTTCCAAAGCAACCATTGTTTTTACGTTTACCGAAGCACATAAAACAAAAATTGAAAGCCTCTATACAATTTGTTGTCTCAATTATGAAATGATTTAAGAACGATTAGTTCTCGGAAATTAAAAAATAAAATAAATGAAATAATTGTTTTGCGAATGTCAATTTTACCGTTTTTACTTTGTTGGTTTTTATATATAATGTATAAAATGAGACAACGGAAGACGAAACACAAATTGTAACTAAAAACTAGATTCACAGATGGAGCAGCAAAAAAAAACAAACGAACGAAAAACAAAACATAAACAAACGAATTTCTGTGTGTGTACAAAACAAAAAAAATAGTAATATTTATAGATATATGAAGAAAAGTCTCTATCTTTACAAAAGTTTTACAAATCACATCTTTCTACAATATTTATCATCTCATCATCATCATCATCGTTATCTTCTTAGTCATCGCCTAATTCCTCCTTTTCTCTCTTCCTCTCTTTCTCTCTCTCTCTCTCATTGTCTAGACAATAGCAGTAATAATAATAATAAAATAATTAAAATAATAATAATAATAAAAAAAACAGTCCAGTGTCATTGGAGCTCTGATCACAGATAAACATATGGTCACATGACTAGCACACCTAATCTATCATCATCATCATCATCGAAATGTCCAGCATTTTTTTTTTTAAATATTTCATCTTCATCATCAATAATTTCGCTTTCCCTTTAAAAGAAAAAAAAGAACATCTTTACATACAGTCTTCGATCCTATCATCATATCTCTTATACAAAAAATAATAAAACAAAAATAATAGATACATCATGGAGAGGGTGGGGGGCAGGGGACAAAAACAAAATAATAATTATAAAGAACCAAAAGAAAAACACACCCTTCGCGCGCCGGCCACGCCCACCCCACAAACAGCAACCGTCGAAGGGGCGTGGTTCGTTGCCTTGACGCCCGCGAAAATATAAACAGAATCCCCTCACATCCACCACATTTGCGTTCCTTTCCAAACCGACCATCGCACCATCATCATCATCTTCTTGTTGTTGCTGTTATTGTTGTTGCGTCTCCTGCACGATCCACAAACGACTATTATACATATATCCTCTCTTTATCGAAAAACGACAAAAAAAAAATAAATAATTATTAACTCCGGAAGAAAAATAGCAATGAATTTAATAAGGAAGATCAATCAATGATCCGGGTTTCGTGAGGAGGAGGAGGAGGAAACAAAACACCTGCCAAACAATCGAATAACTTCTTCTTCTTCTTCTTTCTATCTCCCTCTCACATTCAAATTTAATCTTTGTATACTTTTCGAGACACTGCCTGCGCGATTGTACAATACTTAAATTACAAATTATCAACATAATGTAAGATTAATTTAAATAATTATAACTTTAAATAAATGAAAAGATAAATAATTCGCTTCCTCTTTTCCTTCATTATTTTAATTTCGCGTGACGGGATTGGGAGGAGCGTCAGTGGGAGGAGCGATAGAAGCAAAATGTGTATACAGTTAAATAGAGGCGGGGCTAGATAGGTAGGCGTGGCGTACTTATCATCATCGTCATCCTCTGTCGCCTTCGGATTCCTGATCTCTTCCTCTTTGATCGTTCATTACAAATCGAACAGAGTGTAATAATCATAGTAGTAATCATAAACATGATAGTAATAATAATAAGAAACATAATCGTAATAATAATAATAGTATGTATATGTATGTATAGTATATATATATATGTATATAGTATTAATTAGTGGCAGTTGTCTACTAACTAGTGGAGTGCATGGGCACTTGTGTGTGGTTGGGCACGGTGACGGCCGCCGTCGAGATGGTGGATGGTTGGGATGGTTGTTGCGCGGTGGAGGAAGTGGTCGAGGTCGTGATGAGGGTCAGCTGCTGCTGGATGCCGGCGACGACGGCGGCCGTCGCACCGCCTGGCATCATCAACGTCGTCGTCGTCGTCGGGACTTGCGTCGAAGATGCGTACGTCGCGACGCCTCCTTGCACCGCCGCCGGCACGACGGTCAACATCGGCGCGTACGTCAGGCTGTGCGTGGGGCTGCTGTGTCCGGAGCTGTGGTGGATGGCATCCTCGATGGCGCTCGCCACCTTATCCCGGTCAAGCTGCAAAAAACATCACAATCAATCTTCAAAGTTACACACCTCCAAAGCCAAACCCCTTTTGCACAGAAGAAGAAGAAGCAGAGACACGCCTTCTTGCAAATGGCGGAGCGTCGCTTCTTAAGTTGCCTACGTAACGAACATTCTCAAAACACGTATATCATTAAAAAATGAAAAGTATAGATTGATTCGTTTCCGTCAAAGCTCTAAAGTTTCAGAGAAATCGAATGATGCATATAAATTTCCAAAACAAAATTCAATATTTGTATGTTTAGAAACTCTATAAATATATATATATATAGGAAAATAATAAACAAAACGTGCAATAGATAAGTCGAGCTTGAATTTAGAACGCATTTCACTTGTTTATGTGCGAAACGCAAACCGCGGTAAACAAATACGCGAAGAAATCCAATCCGATCGCAGTAATAACTGTGAGAGAGAGAACGTTGCAATTCGGATCAATTTCTTATAGAAGTTGACTTCTTTAGTGGCATGATAGAAGAATTGTAGTCTAACTTTTTGTGATTTGATCTCTACCCTATTTGCATGGAGGTGAGACGTTAAGTATTTCAAAGATGTGATTGTTGCATAAATATATTACCTCGTTTATAAAACCAAAATGCACCAGTTCTTGGGCGAGCGTCTGAGGCGTATCCACGTAGGACAGGATCGTGGTCAGCTCCCTGTTCATCTTGTCGTCCATCCTGAGAACGAGCGACAGCTGCGCACAAATTGTTGTATAAATTAAACGATGAAGAAAGATACGGTGTAATGGTGGATATGGTAGCGACATCTCACCGTGACCTCCTCGTTCTCCTCCTTCATCTTCGGATCGATCGGCTTCACGTGACATATCATGTTGACGATCTTCCGGGTCTCCACGTCCGTCGGTTCCGGCGTCACCGACTTCTCCGATTCCGCCATCTCCGGAGAGATGGCGCGCGATCTCGCCGGAGGCGGCTGTTTCGCACCGTACGCCGTCAACGGGTAGATGCCGTTCCTGCGAATGGATAGGACAAAGATAGGACAGAGTGGATGTGAAGAGAGCGAGCGAGATGGAAGAAAGAAACAAAAACAAGAAAATCAATACGCATTCAGATCCTGCCTGCCTGACTCTCTCCATAATACGTACAAACTGGATGCGACGAAGAGTATTGGCAATATGCATTTCATGTAGATTATAGATAAATAGTTACTCACTTGACGTCTTCCACGAACTTCTCCAGCTTCTCGGAGACGGGTACGTCCGACATCCTCACCTCCACCGGCTGCTGATTGTTGCCGTACTTAACATCCGCGAGCACCATGTCCGGCGCGTACAACCGCTGTATCAACTCATCTGTTATCGTTTCAGATATGTTTGCTGAAGAACAATTAGTTAATTTAACAACTCGTCATAAGTAATCTGCACTGCAAACATGCACAATCAATAGGTTTTATCAATAAAATTCACGAACAACCAAATCTCTTTCGCTGCTTTTTAGATGTTAATCGTACACGAAATGCACGTTCAAACAGATCCGAAAGATTCGATAAGCACGAATTACATTCCAAGTGTACTATTTTTTATGGCTCGTTGTTCTTTTTGTATTCTTTACCTCGAATCCATTAAGAAAACATAATGTTAAGATCTCATTATCAACTCATTATTATTATTACACTTGCATTCCTATATAGGTCTAGACCAGAGGTTCCCAAACTTTTTTGTGTCGTAGACCCTTTGCCATGTTTTTCGGTTTTGGGTAGATCTTTATAATTATTAAGATCTTTGCTCTGAGACTGCGCGTATGCTTGTAACAACTTGTTTTTACAAGTTCAAAATGTATTGCGACCACAAATCGAATGCCTACATCCTACAACTTACACAATTCTATAAATATATATAATACATTTTTTTACTTCATAGGTACTTTTATAAATAATGTATATGTCTTTATATTATAAGATAGTCTAATGTAAGTAAATAAGTACTATCAGTGTATGTTGATATCCATTATCGTGGACCCCCATTTTCATCCCTTGCAAGTTGTCATAGACCCCTGGGGGTCGATATAGACCACTTTGGGAATCGCTGGTCTAGACCTTATAAATGTTGATTCAATTTGGAACAAAATTTGAACCACCCAAGTGATACTGTACCTTGTAACAATCGAAATATGAACTTTTACTTTATCGTAATTGAATTAATATTATCTTGACAATTCTTGACTCAAATTTGTCTTTCCAATTTTTTCGTTTGATCAAATTTTTAAAAATTGATTGTGTATGTTCAAAAATAAATAAACAATTGATGAGACGTACCAGCAGTCTTGACGAGGCTGTTGGCAGACAGCAGCTTGAGTGGATGCACCTCGAAGAGCAGCGGATGGAAGAGCAGCTCTTTGGCGGTGGGCCTATTGGCGGGGTTCTTGTTCAGACACGTCCGGATGAAGTCCTTCTGCTGTCCATCCTCCAAGGAGTCGATGGTCTTGTTGATGTTCTCGTCGGTCACGATGTTGCCGGAATCTCCGTTGCCCTGGATCTCCAGCGCCGCCATCTCCAGGGCGCACATACCGAACGAGTAGATGTCTATCGCAGGACCCATGATCGCTAAACAAACGCGCGCAAACGTTACAAACAATCCCAAAGAAAAGCGGTAACTATAGCAACAACAACAGTACATCAACAACAACAACTAAACAACTAACCGACGGACGAATTAGAGAGAGAAAGAGACAAAACACATCGATAATAACAAAATACTACCACCACCAAAAAATTACATTCTAAAACATTCAGACAAAAACAAAAACTAGTGTCCCGGACGACTCGAATCGGGCCGTCCGGGACGTTCCTCCTCAAAAATAAAGAAATAAGAATGAGAAGGAAGAATTTGAAAACAAAATTTAAAATTAAAAAATAATAATAAATAAATAAATAAATAAAAAAAACGAAAAAAAAAATCGGAATGCTTCGCTTCGCTTATTTTTTGTTTTGTTAAGTACTTACTGCCGTATTCGGGTGCAACGAAATGCATATTTTTGATGTTCTCCTGACACGTTTTAACATGATGATGAATCGAATCGGGGGCGACTAGACGGAAAGGGACAGAGAAAAGAAAAAAAAAACGGGTTGATAAATTTCAAACGGTCAAGTCAGCGTCGTCGATTAATGATTTATAAATTTCTTTTTAATATTAATAATAATAAAAATAGTTTGTAGAAATAGAGCGAGAAATAGATCAAAAATTGAACGAAAATAAATATCTGTGTGGAATTTTTGATGTACACAGGTGGGTGCAGGTGGCGCGACTCTACGCTTCTTACGTTACGCCATCTGTGGGGCATCGATGCACTACCACACAGTACGGCCATCCGGATTACCTCGCAAAGTGCGCATCCTACCTAAACAGTACTCACAACCATATATATATATAAATATAACCAAAACTACAGTTTGCGATCGAATCCGAAGGCACGTACGTACACACTCAATCGGAAGCCGCGCCACCCCTTGCCCAACCTTACGGGGGGAAATATCAAAATATTAAAAAAAAAACAGAACCCCAGGTCGCAAAGACCCAAAAAAAAAAAATAAGTATAACAATGTAAGTGAAGAACACATAGGGGGGAAGGAGGGGTGTATTGAGATATGTATGGGTTGAGGGGGTAGTGAATCGGTTCTTTTTTTTTTGTTTTGTTTCTTTTCAAATTGAAGAAAAAAAAAACACTAGCGCTCTTTTGTTTTGGAATTTTGTTTTTTGTTTTTGGTTGTTTATTTGTTTTTACCTGATCCGATTTTGACGAGTCCATTGTGTTGAATAAATATGGTATCACAGGTGAGATTTCCGTGGATGATCGGCGGTGAACAGGAATGCAAATAACTGTAAAGAAAACACACTGCAGATCATGGCTAACTGACTCGGAAATGAAACGCAGGGACGGCCGGGCGAGGCTGCAAAAAGATGACCACCATCATCATCATTATCAATCTCAAATTCAACTTCTTCACCTTTCGAAACGTCTTTTCTTTTTCTTTGAAAAAAAAAACGTCAAATCAAATTCAAAACGTCAAATAATTTTGATTCATAAGCGAAGCATAGATGGCGCCCTTGCAAAATCCGGTAAACGTTGCGAAAAGAGCGATGATGATGATGATGGGACAAACAACAGGTGACGCTGTTATCGTTCGTCACTTACCTTGAAGCCCATCCGTTGTTTGATTTATGTTTATTATGTTATATAAATTTTCTGTTTTAGCTTTTGCGAAACCAGACTCTAGTATTTTCACTTAACACCTAGGCATGCCTTAAAGTTAACTTAACTTACGAGAAAACGAGAGAAACGACCTGAAAGAGAAGGGAACGCAACGAGAGCACACAAAAAAAAAACAATTTGGAAAACAATAAACGACAAGTAAAATAAATAAATAAATAAATAAAAGCACACACACATCATATACATATATAAATACCGTCCTGAAAAGAAGATCACAAGTGGGTGGGGGAAAACAAAAGGTTAAATGTCAAAAGCATAAATCGGTAATACTAGTAGTAATAATAATAATACAAAGTGTTACTTTGTGTCGTCTTACCTTAAAGCTGATAGTATTTGTGTGCACCATCTGCGCCACGCCTGCAGGGGAAGTCTTTTCACGTTGCGTTTGGTGCGTTTCAGGAACTGTTTCAGTGAACCGGAGGACATGAACTCCGTTATGAAAATGACCTGCAAAATTTTCCAATTTCGATTATTATTATCATTATCATGTAAAAATTTCAGCAATAAACAGTGTGTACTCACCCTTGGTTTGTCGTTGTGTGTGTCCGTCCAGTATCTGTGGAACTTGACGATGTTGGGATGTTCGAGCTGCGTGAGGTTCTCGAAGACCATCTGGATCTTCTCCTCCTGCGACTTGAAGTTCTTCCTCTCCGAGAACTGCACTTCGTTCCAGACCACCTCGACGCCCTCCTCGGTGTCCATCGCCAAGTAGGCGCAATCGATGCCCGGAACATCTCTCTGCTCAACCTATGAAACAAAAAAAACAAACAAAAACAAATGAGTTTCAAATTGACAATCATAAAGATAAAAGCTCCATCTTGCGACGGACGAGTGGCGCCATCTATCCGGACGCATTGCACCATAAAATTGCGAATCAATTAGGGAGAATAGTAGTTAATAAAGAAAGGAAACACGAGACACACGACCTTTCGCGAATCCTCTTTTTGGCACATGGAAATGTCAACAATGAAATAAATTAGAGCGAGAGGAACTAACTAATAGAGACAAACACAAAGGGGATAGAATGTAAGAGAGAGATACGAGTAAATTGGGGGGTGGGGGCGAAGGATTTAGGTTGCGAAAATATGCTTTACTCTTTGTACAACTATATAGTGGGTGAAATAGGGATAGAGAGACGAGACTCTCTCGATATTGATTTTCTTGGTAAATGCAAAATTCCGCTTCCCAGCGAGCACAGCGAAGCGTTTTCGCTTTCTCTCCAACCTCAACGATTTCCCCCAAACCATCTCTCTCTCTCTCTCTCTTTTTTTCCACCACGTCTAGCATATACGTAAACGGCCAAGGCTATCTCGATAACTCTTCTGGGTATAAGCCTCTCTCTTTCTCTCCAATTCGCGAATGCATCATACTCTCTTTCTCTCATACTCTCTATTCACCGGCAGCAGCAGCAGCAACCGCTCACTCCACCCGACATGACCTACACTAATGAATATTAAAGGAAGCGAAATCAAGTTTAATTTCGCAAATCGAACGTAGAAGAAAAAAAAACCTTTTGGTCTTAAGAAAAAAGAAACAATTATAGGATACGATCATATTGATGATGATGATGCATCAATCGTGTTGTGCATGATTGTCTAATAAGGATACGAAATTCCAAATGTTGTAATTCGCGATTGATGCGGTAACAAATAAATATTCATGCACGGTCGTCGCCTCCTATCACCATTTATTAAAACACACTCTCTGACTCATGTCCATCGCAAAATTGGACAATTCCCTACTTAATACACGCCAAGCTATAAATGCAACAAATATGTCTAGAAGAACAAAGCTATCCGGAAAACATTTGCGTTTGTTTTTGTTTTACCGATTTTCAGAAGGATCGGAAATCTGCACAAAATAAACAAAAAGGAATAAACAAGAGACGAACGACGACCAAAAATAAATGAGTTACGAAAAAAAAAACAAACAAATGAAACGAAATTTCTAAATTTCTACTGTATTTAACTAATTAATTGATTAATTATTGAATTATTGAATATTATTTGTACAGTTTAAATTGAAGGACTAATAACGGAACAGCAAATTTAAATATTCATTGAACAAAAATTGAAAATTTATTAACAAACAAAAAAAAAAATATATCGATTATGTAAATATAAACATTTCTAAATGTTGTTGTGTAATAAAATTTCAAGAAAATTTTAGACAAAAAAAAAATTACATGATTCGTTTTATATCCAAATATTTAGAGAAATTTGTATTAAATAAGTATTAACTGTAGGTTACAAAGAAGGATGGATGGATGACTCACAGCTGTGGAATTATATACGAAATTGTTACATAACGAAACGTTCAAAAGCGAAACATGAATCACTTTGAAAATATAAAAAATAATGCTGTTACATTGAGAAACGTTACCGTTCGTTCACATAAAACAAAGGCAAAATTTTATAAATTTTCAAAGAATAATTGTAAATTGATATGTGATTAGTAATTCTCGTAATTCTACAATTTTCAAAAGATTAAACAAAGATGAATTACTCATATTTAATTTCTATATCGATTAAAATTATACATTAAAATCTATAACGCGGGAAAAAAAAATGAATCACTCTGTTTTCATAATAATAATAACTAAATACATCCCGTTTCTATGGCAACAAACAAATTACTAATATAGAATCATTTGAAAAGTTTGGTTATGTATCTTTCTTTCACAGTATAAGAGTGAGTCAAGGCGAAGAAATTTAAATAAAACCATAATTGTAAGTAAGTAATAATAATCGAGTGAGCGTTGGAGGATGTCGCCAGCCACGACGAATCAGGCTCAACGAACTCATTTCCGCTCATTTTACAAGCCGAAACCGAGATTCCGATCGACAAAAACAATCATTATTGTTCGCGAAATACCGACAAAAAAAACTATCTCTTACCAGATTTGTATTTTGAACAATTCTTTAATCTTGAAACTAATACCAACATTGTAACATTATTGTCACCACGAAAATAGTTAATACCAACCAACACGTGTTTATTTTGTACCCAAAAGAATATCAACCTTTCCACCCATTCCATTAATCTTGAAACGTCAACGCACCGATAAATATTTCACTGAGCGCCAGTTTCAAGTTTCTCACCCAAAGAAATTGAAGAAGAAAAAAAAAAGGAGAAGGCATCTCGTCTCATGGAAATACAAAGTGAAATTAAATGCACGAAAGTAAATATTATTTCTAAACTTAGACTTGGATTGCTTTCCCAAAAAAAAAAAAACATAGAAACATCAAAGTTTATGAAAATTGGGTGAACAAATGAAAAAACAAATCAAAAACATTGAACAGCCTTTCTTTTGTTTTCAGAATTTTTGGACTTCTTGTTTATACCTCTCAAAGCAGTTCTTTTAACAGAATTTCATTGTATTTGTTGAAAAATTAATTAATTGAAAGAGTACAATTTTCCCTATTCGTTTCACTTCCTTTTCAAAGAAAAGACAGACAGACACAGACACACTCATCTAGCGCAACAACAATGGTTAATTGTAATGAAAACAGGGTTGGTTTTGTGATGGAATTCAGTCGTTCGGTCAGTTTCACCCACATTACGAAACACACATCCGCCCACGCGAGACCACATATCAACAAGATCGACGGTGGCGTGCGGCGCCGAACGCGCCCAAAACATTTGCCAACGCCGCAGCCACCCCCAGATTTTTTTTATTATGTTATTCAAACAACCCCCCCCCCAGAAGCATTTGATATTAACATATTACATAATACCACTTTTCGAGATACGATCGAATAATTAAATTTACATTTTTATTTCGTTATTAACTTTGACAGCTCATTCAAAGAAAATGTCAAAAAAAAAAAACAAAAATTTTACAAATTATTCTTCAAACTATTTAGACTTCAAAACAGTAGTTCATATCTGTCATCAAAGTCATACGGCGACGACCTCAGGATATTTGCATTTGCAAAACTGCGCTGAACTTGCGGTCATCGGATTTTGTACAGGTAATTGCGCATTCTGTTTATTTACTTTTCCATTGTTTTGTTTCCTTTCCGTTGTTATCTTACGAACGGCACGTCCCGATGTTTTCTGTATCCATGGCGATGATGAAACTTTACGTTTGCCTTGTTGCTAAGGTTACATAAGTCCTTCAGGACAACGACAATTATTATCATGATGAATTCCTTTAATACAATTGATATTTTTTTTTTTTTTGGTGCTTCCATTCGAAGCAAAATTGAATTCGAAGAAAACCATCAACCCAATTAAGCACTCTTTTCTCATCCCTTTTTTTGTTTCGTTTGTGTGGTGCTGGCATCGCTTTGTTTTGCTCACCATCAAATTGGCTTTGGAGACGAGACCCTTCCGCCCTTTGTCTCCGCAAAAATTGATTGTTTTTTTTTGTTTCGTTCATTCGCTCGCAACAGACGACTCGATCCATTTCGATTATCCACCTCGCATTTTCTCTGCATAAGTTATCAAATTTACACAATCAAAACTTTGTTGGATTGTTAAACGCTAGATGGAGCGATTATTCACATGAAAACAAAAATTCACGATTTGCGTATAGATGGAGCTATTTACAACCGTGTCAAATTGTAAATGAATAAAAGAGAAACCGAAAGTATTCGCAAAATACCAACATCGTAAAGCAAAAACAAGAAGAAATAAACGAAGAATGCAGCTTTTTTTTGGAACGGTCTGCACTCGCATCTCGTGCGACCGCCGGTCGAAAATAGTTTTCTAAATTGGCTGTGGCGAAACTGGACGCAACTCGGCCAAAAAAACAAAACAACGACAAAAAAAATGAAGGTATTTACATCATTAATTGCATTATAATATCTCTTCGTCTCATTCAAACGCATTCACAAAAAAAAACTATTTGACCATCTCCTTTCATCATCATCGTCACGAATGCGTTTTCTTTCCAAATTTAATTTATTTTTTTGGCTTCCTCGGCGCCAGCGCTCCCCCCAAAAATAACGTTCGCATAATAATAATCATAATAATGAAAACAACAAAAATAAAATTTAAAAAAAAAAACAACTAGAAGAGAACTAACGCGCGACGCGACAAAACTACAGTCTAGCAGGCGTCGGCGGGAAACACATACTTCCCACTATACTTGGACACGCGTTCCAACAAAAAAAATTTTAAAAAAATAATTGCAAACATAAGCGCGCAGCCACAACATTGAAACGTGAGGAAATTTGGACGTTAAACTGTTGACACCGAAAAATGCAAGGCTTCCCGTACAAACAAAACAAAACAAAAATCACATAAGAAAAACAAACGATAATCGAAGACGTAAGAACAGTAACGTAAAGTAACTTTGTCCATAGCAACTAAACAAACAATTGAAACCGAAAAGCATTTGTTACTAAAAAAACAAAAGCAATTCAAATCAATTTTACATTAAATAAAACAATTGAAATTGACAAAACGAATATAGTTTTTTTTTTTCCCTTTAATCTGTTAATCGGTTAAGAAATAAGATGAAAGGGTGTAAAGCAAACATTGTTGGCGTCGTTCCAGATCCACGAAAATGTAACTCTTTTTTAGACTTAATGCATAATTCATGTTCGTGTTACTTAACGCGCGCGCGCGCTTTCGATACTAATGCACGTAATCAAAAACGTCAAAATATGACTTAACTTGATGGCAGCTGCTCACTAAATTAACTCAGTCACACATCAAGATGCATTTAACGATAGCAATTAAGATGGGAAGCACTAATTATGTTAACTATTATAGCATTACGTTATACACAACAATTG